CTTCACACAAAAATACCTTCATCACAGATTTTGCTAGCTGTTTACTACAATCTGTGTACTACTGTCCAGAGTTTTCTGTCGGTTGTTCTGCTGGATTATGTGCAATAATAAACAGTTATCTGCTCACTCTATCCATGTGGATTTTTGCAGGGGAATCTCCAGGTTTCTTTCCATACTGATGCATTCACTCCAGTTTTAAAGCAGAGAGTAATGCAGATTTTCACTGGTGGCATCTGGATGTTTTCTAGCTTTTTCTTAATGATCTGTTTCAAAATTTTGCATTTTTTTATGGATGGGGTACTTTGCAAAGAGAGTTGTTTTCACTAAATGCTTTCAGGCAGCCTTTAAGGACCCCGCAACTCTCTGAGCACACTCCATGTGCTCCCCTCGTGCTGGCCTCTGGCAGGGGTTGCACAGGGCAGGAGCAAAGGCAGCTCGCTGGCCCAGAGCCTGCCCAGGCCATGCAGATGGCTGCTGCCAGGTCCCTTTGCTGCCTCCCGACCCCAGGGCTGCTGCCAGGCTCATTGTGAGCTGTGTGTCACTGCCTGCTCCTCTGGGTTTGGGGAGGAGTGATTCCCCACTGCCTGTGCCCCATCCTCTCGCTCAGCCTCTGGAGACAGCCTGGGTGAGAGGAAAGCCAGGCACGAGGTAGAGGGAAATGGCAGCAGGGTGATTTATGGGGGAGGATGGATGAGCAGAGCCCAGCAGCAGCCCGGGCCAGCAGGGCCCTGGGGCCTGAGGAATCCAGAGTAGCCAAAACCTCCAATCCTTTTTCTATTTCTGGAGCGTCTCACATGAGCAAAGCCGGACTGTGCAGAGAGGCTGGGGGGACACAGGCTCAGCCCTCATGGGCTGGAGAGCTGCCCCTGCCTTCTGTGGCTGTGAGGGGTCTTGTGGCAGAAGATTTCATGCCCTGGTAGAGACTGAAGGGGCTGAGTTTGATGAAATGATGGCTTTTCTCTCCTCTGGGCTTCTTTTGCTTCTGATATGGAAGGAACAGCTACATCTCATTCATCAGTCAGGGGCAGCAGGGTAACTGGAGCCTTATACACCTCATAAATCTCAGGCTGATGAATGGAGCAGGTCCTTGGCTCTTGTGTTACAGAGGCAGTAGGGAGGGAGGTGGGTCTGCTGCTGAGGCAAGGACACATTGCTTTTAAAGTATTAACAAAGGCAGAACAAAATGTCTGCAGCTTCCCCAGGGTACGGGGGACAGTGCTGGGCTCTCTGCCTCAATAGACACTGGTTTCAGGGATAACGTCCCCACAGTGTCCAGCCAAGTGTCCCCAAGGACAGGCAGGGAGGTGTCTGATATGTGAGAACCAGGCTAAAGGCACTGGCCTGATCCTGTGTCGAAGGGCAGGAGCCTTACCCTCAACTGGTGGGAGGGAAGGTGCAATCTGAGCCTCAGTGTCCTCTGACAGTGACCTGCCCAGGCATCCTGGGGACAGCCATGCTGTACTCCACCATCCTTGTGGGCATGGGGGCTCTCAGGTGCCCTCCTCTCTTTTGGTCTTCATCTTTGCACAAGAGGAAGAGTCAGAGCTGGGGTGAAGGTGATACTGACACTGAGAAGGTGCTGAAACATGCAGAAAGGTTCCAGTGGTACTCTGGTCTGGGTCTGGCTCCACACCTTTGCTTCAGGACCCTTCCTGGAGGAGGCTAGCCCAGGAGCACTAATACATCAGGGAACACGCACCACCAGCAAGAGCATCCCATGCCCAGCTTGGGGCTGGCACCAAGGGGCCTGTGGAACCCTCTCCTCTCCTCTTCTGTCAGAAATACTGCACCTCACAGATGGAAAAAGTTGCTTTAAATTTACTTCCTCTGAGAAATCACCCACACTGTGCCCACAAGGACAGGATCAGCCAGCTTGGGAGCCCAGTGGGCCTTTGCTGAGGACCTCAAAACCATGTTAGTACCAGGACCACCTCAGAGCCTTCTCTTTGAGAGGGTAAAGTTTTTATAGGCTTCACAGCTTGTGTTTTCAGGCATAAATTCCCTATTGGCAGAGCAGCGAGCACTGGTGCACTCACAGCATCCCCTGTCTCTATAGAAACAGCACACTCAGAGCCCAATTCATAGGGTGGTTATTAAAGAAAATTCATCGGTTATAAAGCACAAATTGTCCTTATTACTTCTGCCCATGACCCATGGCACAGGGACCTGTGGTGTTGCCATCACGTTCCCTCCCTCAGGCACCCTGGATTTGGGGCACAGGCAGTGCCCTCCCACAGAAGCCTTCACTGAGACCCTGCCAGGACAGAAATGTGTAGGGCTGGCTAACTGCTAAACTGGGGGTATTTTAGTAAATTAAATTCAGTCCCACAGGACTGGCAAGCTTTCATCCATGGTGTGTCCCAGGGCAGTTCTGGAACTCCTGCCTTGGCTTGGAGAGTCCTGAGGAGCCCCCGAGTGAGTGCAAGCCTGGAGGCAGCACTGGCCCAAGGGCTCTCCAGAAGCCTTGGGAAACAGGAATTGCAAAATAAACAAGTAACTGTGAGTGATTACATTAATATTGCTGCAGGACTATCCCCAGGTTTTATTAGCAGCTCTTTAATTGTGATCTGCTTGAACTAATTAGTTCAAAGAAGCAGCTGGGGCCAGACCAGACTGAAAAAGGGCTGCATCCAAATCTTTCCCTAATGTGTGGTCCACCCTTTCTTGTGGCTCTTAAAAATGTAAGCAATTGCCCATCATTCTCTTTGATGATCTGAGTATTATTAATTGAAAGGTACCATTATGTTAGAAGCATGGTTGGGTACCACAGAGAGGAAGCCTGTTCTGGTTGCAGGGAGGTGCTGGATGCCCTCATGGTCTTTACATCTGTTTTTTTAGGAGACTGCTGGTATTTTGTTGGTTACTCTGTAATTTGGCCCTAGAGCAGGCTGACTTTCAGAGTGCTGGCCATCATCATAGGTGAGAAAAACCATCCCAAAAAAAACCACCTGCATTGCCATTCTCCTGTGACACAGGCTGGTGTAGATGCCCTATTTGCCCAATTTCCCACCACCCAAATCTAGAGACTAAGTAAGAGGACAACCTGATAGGAGCTTGAGCTACAGATTTTGGTAAGTTACTTAAACTTGTGTGTTTTGCCAGGGTAAATAACCCTTGCTGGGGTCCCATCCATGCCCTGCTCACAGGCAATCACTGTGTGGCCTCTTTCACTGGCACCAGCCAAATTCAGGTAAATGTGTTGGATGTGGTGTCTCCTAAACTGAAACTCCAGAAGCTTCAGCCAACCTAGGGCTCTTCAGGCACAAGAACCTCACTCACCACTCTGCTATCAGCTCTTCCCCAAGCCTCTGTCTCCTACACCCCCCTCTCTGCACTGCTCACAAATTCCTCCCCTCACCCCAGGGCTCTGCAGCACTGCCAGATCCCTCCTCTCCTGCCAGCGACTTATTTGTTTGTAATTGAAGAAACCAGATGGTGTTTTACCAGGTTAACAACCCCTGAAAGGTCAGGGGTTAGAAATAATGAGCTTTAATTAGGAGAGTAACAGGTTAGATCATGTTGAATTGCACTTCAATGCCATAAATTACTTAGGAGCAATAGATTCTTTATTTGCTGGCATGTTTATAAACTCACAGCCCACACTCATGCTGTTGAGACAAATAAATGCTGAGGGTAAAATACAGCTTGAGACTTTACGAGCAGGGTGGGATGTTGCAAGGTACAAGGTAATGCAGGCTGAAGCTTCAAGGGAATCATATAAGGAATTAAGGTTTTTATTCAGACCCTGAATATCCAAAGGAAGTTACAGTGATTAGTTATTTATTTTAATTCCTTTCTGCTAGTGATTTATTTCCCAGCAGCATGCATCTCTCAAGCAGCATCTCCTTAGCAAGCTGAGTGGTGACCTTCTGTCTTCAATTCCACCTAAAAGTCTCTCAGCTCCTCCTCAAGTGCCAGAATACATGCAGGGGGAAGGACCAGGAACTCATTCCTCATCTACAGAGTTTCACACTTTGGTGCACTTGTTGGAGATCTCGTGGTTCCAGGAGAATTTATCTGCCAATTACTTCTCAAAAAATAGCGAAGGGTCATGCAGTACTTGGCAGCTAAAAGCAGAAGAGGGAGTAGAGAACCAGGCTTTAATTGAATCTCAAGTATGCTGAACAAATATTTCAGAACTATCAATTAGCTGTTGGCCTGAGGCTGAAATTGAATTAAGAAAATAATTCTTTTAGGGTGCCTCCATCTGAGGGGAGACATAGAAAAGGGAGGAGTGAAGATAGATGTGATGAGGAGGAGGAAAATATCCTGCTGGGGATACTTCAGAATTAAGCTGCTCCTTGTGCTTGCAGAAATCAAGGCTGTCAAACTGCACAGCCCATGCCTGAGAAGTGCCTTAGGTCAGGATGCAGGTGGGTTTCCAAGCTCTGGCAGTAAATCCTCGTCCCACATCCAGCTCTCTGCAGTGGCAGCTTCAGGGTGGAGAGCAGGAGGACACAGGAGAGCCCATCCCCGAGAAGATGCTGCCTGTGCTCAAGGTCCAGGGAGGCACCAGCAGTCACCCAGGGGTCCCCTTCCCCCTGCTCCACCTTACTCTGCTCCTTACTGCTCTGGTTTGTCTGCACATGCTTTTATCAATGCCTTCTTCTGAGCTGCTAAGGAAAAATCTGTTCTAAGGTGCGGAAAATAGTCTGTACTATAAAAAAGATTGTTAGAAGCAAATCCTCATATATTAGCAAAAGTTCCTCCATATTCTTCAAGAAATAAATCCCAAATCTCTGTGCGGAACTTTCTTAACAACAATAAACAGGAACTCTGTTCCTAAATTCACATTATACAATATACATAAAACAGTGCAAAAATAGCATGAATCCTTAAATTCCAAACACATTATGTTTAAAATAATTGCAAAAAGCCAATATTCTCTTCCCTCATCCTACCTAAATAGAAAGGGGCAAAATAAATATCTTTATTCTAAATCTAATATCTATATTCTATATCTAAATATCTATATATAAATAAATAGGGGCAACATAGATGGTTTAATAACATGCAGTATAATAATCACACATGCAAAACCTCCCCACACAGAACAAAACAGGTCCTGGACAGTTCCGACACACTGAGGAGACTTGAGGTCTTGTCCTGACTCACCCAGTGAAGCAATTTCCTGTAGATGCAGAATGGTTAATTAACATCTTGTGCCCTTGAAAATATCATATACGTATTTCCCAAGTGAATGCAAAATTTTAGGGTCTTTTAACACTATAGTTTGGTGAAAGTCACTGTTGACTAGTGAGGCTGCATTGGCTGTTAAAGTAGTACTCACAGTCACTTGAGGTTTACTGGTGGCAGGCATTTTATTTGGCAAGAGCCCTAGGGTTTGGCTTATGTGTAATCTTTTTGATTTTACTCAGAGTCCAGATAGTCTCTTGCAAGTCTGGGGCAAGTGTCCTTGGACAGGATGCTGCAGGGTACGAATATCTACTTTGCTTACAAGACAACAGCAGCAGTAAGTATTTGTGTCACTAATCACAAAACACTTAATGGACTTCACAAGTTATTCCCAGGAAATAAGATAATCTCTTCACCTGCTGAAAAGCACCTGTGCCTGGGGCAGAGAGAACACTGCTCTGTGGTAATGACTGCACCACACTGGGGCTTGCAGGAGAAGAGAACAGTTTCCAGCTGAAACAGCCAGAGGAATTTGGACAGGAAAGGTATAGTTATCCAAAGGAAACTCAGACCACAACATTGGAAGTACTTCTGTTATGTTAGGGAACACTCATTATTAGTTTGTTCATTATTAGTTCGTTCATTGTAGCAAATCCATCTGGTCTGAACCTTGGGTTTCTGTGCTATCAGCACTGCAGTGTTTCCAGAAACATCACACGAGGCTCATGACACCCAACTTTGTTTATTCCTAATGCAGTAGTCTCCCCCTGAGAGTCCCAGAGTCCCTTCACAGCCAATGGCCTCATATCTTGGAGGTATTTATCTCCTCTGTAGGGATGTGCATTCCTCACAGGAGAGTGTTGAGATGAGAGGAGACACATGAAAGTGCCTAATTGTTCCCATTAACTTCAGAAGGACTCCAGAGGAGCAGCTTCCATGGGGTGTCTGTGTTACAGGCATGTCAATTTGGGTAGAAGAGACTCACTCTAAAAGAGGTGTATTTTTCCCTTAAATGCCCTTCTGTTCCTGGGATTTCTTTCAATGCTTTGGCCCAGCTCAGCACCTGCATGTAGCACAAAATGGGGTGGCACTGCTATATTTAACAACAGATGCTTCAGAGATGCTAAAGATTGACACGTGCCTAACGCTTCACCAAACAAGAATAAATCAGCACTAAAGAAAAGCAAATTAATTTGCCTATAACAATATGCTTTGTTAAATGCCCTGAAGAAGTATTGAATGAAGCTTGCTGCAATGCCAGAGCAATTCCTCTTGGCACTCTCCCAGCACAGTGTGTACAGCCACACAGCTCCCAGTGCCTGCATTGTTTCAGGCTCAGAGGATTTGTTTATTCTTTGCAGGTGCAGGGAGCCTGCTGAGATCCTCGTGCTCGGTGAGGTTGTGGTCAGAGCTGTCGTGGGAGCAGTCCTTCACCGCGCTGTAGTACACCGGGGTGGTGGCTGGGGCAGGCTGCCCAGCGCTCTTCTCCTGGCACTTGTACAGCTTCCTGAAGGCAGCCCTGAACTTCTGTGACATGAGGTTGTAGATGATGGGGTTGATGGCGCTGTTCAGGTAGATGCACAGGCGGCAGAAGAGGAGGAACCAGGTGTTCAGGTACGGAGGGTCCACGAAGGAGTTGACCACCACCAGCGTGCGGTACGGCAGCCACAGCACGGCGAACAGGGCCACCACCACCGCCAGCATCTTGGTCACCTTCAGGGGGGACATGCAAAAAGAGAAACAGCCACATCTAAATTTGGGCTGAAATCTAAATCTCCAGCAGAACTTTCCCCCCTGGAGCACTGGTGCAAAGGGTTAGTTTTTTTCTCTAAGCATTTAAAAGAAACACCCAAGACATGGGGCTATTTCTCACTGAAAACATTTTAATCGGGGAATAATCTTGTATAAATAAAACCAGAAATGACAGGTTTTCATCTACCACTGAAGAGCCTTTAAAACTATTTAGAAAAAGTATTCACCATCCTGGAAATGGGCTGGGATAACCATGGCAATGTCTGTACCAGAAAGCAGATTTGAAAATTGTACATAACAGTAAATGAATGGGGAAAATACTTGTCTAAAGGTGGGGACCTTGGGTTTAGGGGTGTCCTGGGATACACTTCATCTCCTTCCCTAGGGTTTCCTGATTTCCTACACCACCTATATTGCTCCAGGGAATAGGTTCCTGCTACAGAGCAACCCTGGAAGCAGAGGAGACTGTAAGGAATTTTATATTATTTGTGCTGGTATAGGGCTTATTTAGCTACTTACCATATGTTACTTTAATTTTCAGCACACGAGGGCAGTACTATTTAAACACATTGAGAACAAAAAGAAACAGAGAACTCAGAAGTGAGCAGTAATTGCCCTCAGCTCAGCATAAGCTTGTTTAGGAAATTGGGATTTTGCACTGAAACACCAGTCATCCTAGTAATTTCAACAGCTATTTCTGGTATGTGACAATCTTCCTCAAACAAATTACTAACAAAATACACACATCCCCAAAGAAGAAAATATTACTAAACACTGATGCCACATGCGTATCTAGGCAGTGGTGTTTCAAACGTCAGAAGGGGAAATGTGCAATAATCCAGTCCTTAGTATGGACATAAGCACTAGGATCACATTTAGAGTCTCTCAGCTTTTCTTAGGGTGCTTTATTACTTCATCAAAAGAAACTGTGCCTTCCTGTAATGCCGTGAATAGAAACTGGGAGTCACTGCTTGTGGCAACAAAATTTTTCCTAGAAAAAGGAACTATTACCAAGCTGTGGCTGAAATAGAAGGGTTTGCTGAGTGTGGTTTAATGAAAATGTGAGGACACTTCTAAAAATAAGATCTCACAGTGATACAGTGAGTGCTGAGGCTGCTGCTAAGACTGAAGCTTGTTTGCTGCCACAGTTTGTTGCCTTTTGGGAAAGATATGAGAGAATGTACAAGTGGTGTCTCACAAAGCTGTGTCCAGCCTCTGCCCCTGTCCAGGAAGCCACAGATGTTCTCCCCAGCCAGTATCCTCCCTCCTTGTTCCTGCTCCATCATTCTCAGTTGTACCTCTTTTTTTTTTAGGAATCCCACTCCCTCTAGTGGTCCCTCTCCTGGAGGAGAAACAAGGACTTGGAGGTGACAAATACAGCAAAGCTCACACCTTTTGTTGTCCTGCTCAGGATTTAGGTGCTTTTGAAGCCCCAGTGAGAGAACAGCAGCATCTTCATACCCCAAAGCAGCGCAGTTTGGGGCTGTGTAGGAGCACAGCCACAGAAAATGTCCCTCAGCCACCCAGGCAGGACAGAAAATGGGCACCTCTGAGAGAGCCCCTTTAGGACCTTTCCCAGGGAACTCTGGGCATGGGGCCTGGAAGAGCAGGAATGCTGATGTGAGTGCCTGTCCTCTCTTCAGAGGCACCTCCAGAGCTACACACCCCACCAGCTGGAAGCCCTGGAAAACTGCTTTACAGTTTAAAAACTTAGTGCCATCTATTCCTTATGATGGCAGCGCTGTGATGTCAGGCCACTCAGGGGAAGTCTTTGCATGCTAGGATATTTTGGGAGGTAATGATAATCTCCAGTAAACTCCTGGGGTATCAGTGAAGAGAGCACAAGATGTTTCCAGGAGCTGGAATGCCTCAGCAGCCACTTGCCCTAATGGTGCTGGAGCATGCTGTGCCACTCCATGGCACATTGCAGGAGGAGCAGCACAGCCCCTCCAGCCCCTCCAGAAGCTGCTCAGGAAGGAGAAATCCATCAACCAGTCAAGAGCCCTTGCTGCCAAACACCCTGCTCGAGGCTCCTGCAGCTGCCAGTGGCCATGGGAGAGCAGGCAAATGCTTTTAAAGAAGTCAGCACTTGATTTAAATCTTTCAGAAAAAAAGGAAGGAAAAGCTAAACTGGAAAGATTTAGAAGTTCGTGAAGAAATACACATTCTCTGAGCTGTTTGCTTCCCCTCTGTGACCCTGACTCATCTCTCCTGGGGGATGGAGGTTCCTGTGCAAGGCAGGCAACAAACTACTGAGCTGGAAACAGGAGGATTTTAGAGCAGGCTGAAGTCTACTCTGGGCTATCTGGAAATCACAACAGAACTAGTGATTTCAAGGACTCAAGGCAAACTCCCAGATTCAACTTTCCCTTTAAAAAGAAAGCTGAATGGGCCCTGGCTGTTCAGAATGGGACTGTCCCGTGTCTAGATACTGACCTGTCCAAAGAGATGGGACACGAGGCAGAGATTGTCCATGTGAACAGAGCAATGAGGACAGAAGGAGGTGGGAGCAGAAGGACTGAGGAGACAGCAGACAACTGAGAGACACAGGAATCACCAAAACACAAACACACCACTGTGGCACCGAGGTGACTCACCCAGCTGCACCGACTGCAGGGCTGGGCTCCAAAGGGAGTCACTTCTCCCTTCTCTTTGCTCCTTCAAATCTGAGTCCACATGCACACACCGAGGTGACTCACCCAGCTGCACCGGCTGCACCAGCCAGGGCTGGGCTCCAAGGGGAGTCACTTCTCCCTTCTCTTTGCTCCTTCAAATCTGAGTCCACATGCACAGAACACTGTCTGAGAGGTGAGTCCCCCCACTGGCATTACATGACCCAGCCCTCTCCTCCTCGGGGAGGCAATCAATTATTAATTAGCCAGCAGAAGTGCCTGCACTCCTCCCTCTCCCCAGCTGAATCCCTGTCCTGCTCTACCAAGCCCAACCAAAGCACGGCGAGCCCATCTATGCTGCCAGACCCCCGGTGGGCTTGAGGGGCTCCTGTGCAGCAAACCAGCACTCCCCGCTCCCTCCACAAAGGCAAACAAAACACTGTGGCACCTCGGCCCTTGCCAGAATGCCCCTCACAGCCCTGAGCTGCCTGCAGCCCCCCCAGACAGAGGGCAGCCCCTACCTGCTTGCGGGAGCTCAGGGCGCCCCGGCTGCCCCGGCAGGAGAGCCTGAGGGAGCTGGCCCGGTGCAGGGAGCCCAGGAAGGAATGCTGCGGGGTGCCGGGCACGGGGCTCACGAACAGGATGCGGGCAATGAGGCCGTAGAGGACAGTCGCCAGCCCCAGCGGGATGACATAGAAGACAGCAAAATCCAAGAAGTAAATGGGCATGTAAAGGCTTCTGGAGACCCGGTAGCCACAGATGACCTGCGCCCCATCCGAGAAGGTGACCTGGGTGGTGTCCACCAGGAAGAACCACATGAGGCAATAGAGGGAGGTGAAGAGCCACAGCGAGGCGATGATGCGCCTGGCGCGGGACACGGTGCACAGGAGCTGCGCCTTGATGGCGTGGCAGATGGCGATGTACCGCTCCACCGTGAAGGCGGCGATGGACCAGGCGGAGATGTTGATGCCCAGGTACTGCAGGTAGGTGATGCAGAGGCAGCCGGCGTAGCCGTACACCCAAGAAGCCACCACTTCGGAGATGTTGGGCAGCCCGGCCGCCAGCAGCACGATGAGGTCGGCCACGGCCAGGCTCACCAGGTAGCAGTTGGTGGGGGTCACCATGTGCTTGGTGCGCAGCACCACCAGCACCACCATGGCGTTGCCCGCGATGCCCACGCCGCAGATGAGCAGCACCAGCAGGATGGTGACCACCTGCAGCTCCAGGGGCTGCCGGGGCATCCTGCCCAGGCTCTGGTTGCCGCTGGCCGAGCCGTTCTCCATCGTGCCCGCAGCCAGCGGCGGAGCCCCGCGCACCGTGCGGCGGCGGCGGCAGCCGGGGCTGCCCCGAGCCCCCTCCCGCCTTCCCGCCCACCCCGGCTCCTCCCTCCCCTTGTTTCCCACCATTCCCCCCAGGTCTTGCAGCCGCCCTGCTCCTTGCATCCCCCTCCCCTGCACACTCTCCTGCTGGAGGGGCAGGGAGCGGCCGGGATCCCCCCGGGACCCTCCAGGAGCTGCCCTGAACCAGCCGGGACTGTCCGGACCCCCAGCTCCCGGGGCTCTCCAGCACTGCCCTTACCCCTGGGACCACAGGAAAGCAGCAGGGCTGTCCCCCAGGAGAGCCCACAGGGCTGCCTCGGTGCCCGGGACCCCCCATCGCCCCCCGGCATCCCCCCTGCCCCCGCCGGGTCCTAGCGCACCGCGGGGCCCGGGGGAGGAGGAGGAGGAGGAAGGGAGCCCAGGCAGGGGATGGGATGAAGGGGAGAGACCCCAGGGTGGGGAGGCTCCGAGGCTGAAAGCAGCCCAGCAGGGAGTGGGACCCGGACTGTGCGTGCCTTTGTCCCCAGCCGAGGCACAGGCTTCACTGTCCCCAGGGCAAGGGAGCTGAGGGTGAGGAGTCCTTCATTGCTCATCCTCAGGAGGGTGGGAGCAGAGAGATGCACAGCCTTTCCTGTTTGCCGTGGGCTGGGGCAGAGGAATGGCACCCCTGAACACGGGGCAGTGACCTCCTGGGGCTGTCTTTCCTGTGGCCATCCCTGTCCCAAACAAGCACAGTGTCACCTCTGAGGGAGAAGGCTTAACCAGTCCTGGACTGGGAGATTCCAGATCTTCCCAGCAATGAGGCTGGGGTGTCTGGTATCTCCCTGGTGGTCAGGGTGGGAGATCCAGTGTCTCCCTGATGGTCAGCAGGAGCCACAGTTTGCTGCCAGCTCCATGCTTGCTCCTGACATCTCTGCAATCTGTCAGAAAACACATTTTCAAATTGAAAGAGGAATTGCGCTAAGGGAGCCCTAACTTGTGGAGTGGAGGAAGGGACAAGGGGAGAATTCTCTTTTTTATTAGATTAGATTTCAATTAAAGGCAGAGTGCTGTTAATCCCAGACACTGAGGCACATATCCAAAGTGTGAAGGATCATTCTGATGCTGAGGGATTCAAGTCTGGCATTTCACTTTGACTTGCTGTGGCAAATAGTATTTTCCCCTTTGCTCCAGGAAACCTTATGCTGCTTTTTGGCAGACAAAAATCCATATAGTTTTTCACTGCTTCCCATGATATTTCATTCATCTTTGGGTCAGTTTTAAAGAACAATTGTTCTATTCCTCTCTTTCCATTTGGTTTCCTTAGGGCTCCACTGGCAGCCTGCACCAGGTCCTCTGTGTCCCAGGCAGCCTCACACAGCCCTGGGTTTGGGAGGCAAGGCAGCTCCTGTCCCTTGCTGCCCTTCTGTGGGAAGGACTGGCAGTGTGGGCACGTGTGCTTGCTCACATCAGCCAAGGGGCTGTGTATCCCAGTGCTCTGGAGTGACTCTTACAGACACAATTCCAGCACTTCATCCCACTGCTGCTGTCTCACAGCGATGCTGCAAGTCCTCAGGATGTGGACTGTGTCATAGAGCTGTGTGTGGGAGAGGAGAAGGGACAAATATGGCACAAATGTCCTGAGATGGGGGTTGGGGTTCATTTGCTTCCTCAAACCCATTCTAGGAATTGGCTTTGTGGGATCAGAAAACAAAATCAAGAGAGACTCCTACAAACACTGGAAAAAGCTTTGTTTTGGTTCAGACCTGGAACACTGTACAGAATAATTGCAGGTAATTATTTCCCTGGCTGCTTTGCTCTGTGGCACAGACAATCCAGCAGTTATTAGTGCAGATAACAACATCATTAAAGCACCCCACTGCAGCAGCTCCTCCTGCCTGTCCCTGAGCTGCTCTGTGTCCATCACCAGGCTGGGGCTGGGCTGGGGGAAATGTGTGTCTGCCCCATGCACTCACTGGGGGATTCTGTTGTTGAAATTGTGAGGTTTGCTGTGATGACTGGTTAATATTCCCTTTACAGACTCCTTCAGTAACTGTGATGTTCAGGATGTGACTGAGGCGTGTATTTAAGAGGCTACTCAGCTTGACACTTACAAAAATATTTTCTTCCAGCTTGGCTTAAATGTAAATGTTTTGATGGCCAAAGATGTTGATTTTTTAAACTACAATTCCATGTTTTGTTCTTTTAGCACACATCAGCATTTCCTTTTCTGCTGGTGTCACCTGGCACCACCATCCTTTATGAATACCTGCCACCACCCACTCTGAAACATCAGCAAAGAGAATCTTCATCTTCCTGAGGTCCCCATATGGGAATGGCCGTGTCCCTGGGTGCTGGCAGGGCTTTTCCAAAAGGGTGTGTGTGCAGCTCCATGGCCAGGTAGCAGCACTGTGCCCAGGATGGGTGCTCAGGCAGTTCAGCATTGCCTTCAGGATGTCCATGAAGGCTTCTTGCAGCTCATCCCTCTCACACAGCCTCACTGGGCAGCTCCCTTAGTCCTATGAAGAGAAAAGAACTCTGAGGCTTCATATATTAAATAAACAAAGCCAAAAGAAAGTGATTCTCCTACCTAAATCTGTGAAAAAACTTCTTTCCATTCCCTTGGGCTTCATTGCTACAAATATTAAACCCATAAAACTCCTGCTGCTAGAGCTGGGCCACAGAGGTGGCAGTGTCCATGTGGTGCCAGTGAATGTGGAGAAGTGTAATTACAGAAACCACAAGTGGTTTTGAGACACTGATTACAGGGTTTGGGGCCCTAGGCAATGGCCAAATTTTGAGTTGTGAGTGATGGTGGGGAAGTGATTCCCACCTCTGCACTCCTGCAGCTCAGCAGGGACCAGGCAGGAAGGTGCTGGTGGCTCTGCTGAGCAGCCTGGGGGCTCACAAGTGCCAGCAGAGATGGGGAATGAGCCAGTCTGACAGAAGCAGCAGTTGTTGTTTGATCAGAGAGACAAAGGAAAGAGAAGTTCTGTCAAAATCACCTTCACTGTTTTGGAGTCACAGCCAATAATGGCTCTGGGGCTTTCTCTGTTATTGCCCTCAGATATCAAGCAAAAAAGGCAGCTGTCAAGGAATTAAACAGATGCAAAACTGATCTGGGTTTGTGCTTCATGAACACAAATATGTGAAAAAAAATCAAAACCCTGGTGGTTTTGTACTGTTTTCTGTGAACAGCTCTAGAGGGAGCAGCTCACAGACCTGGGTGGCATCACATCTGTGCCAGCAGACAGCATTGAAGGCTGAAGAATGGAAAACAATTAAAAGGAAGGCAGTGATGTGGATTTCTGTGGGTGAAACCATTCCAGTCTTGAAGATGAGAATGTCTTCAGGCTCTTCTCTCAGGTCCCAGGACAGGCAGCATTTCCCTGGGGCAGGGGGTGCTTGATGGACCTGGTGGTGCCAGCTCCAACCTCTCATTGTAACATGGAGCCTGGGGAAGAGCTGTCCCAGGGAAAGGCGGGGCAGGGGGTGCCTGATGGACCTGGTGGTGCCAGGCCCATCCTGGTACCAGGTGATACCAGGAGCTCCAACCTCTCATTGTAACATGGAGCCTGGGGAAGAGCTGTCCCAGGGAAAGGATGCTTCCCTATGCTCATGTGGGGACAGGGTTTGTTAATTCCAGGGTCAGGGAGCACAGGCAGCTCTGTGGGTCATCTCAGGTTCCTCTCTTCCCTGTCTCACTGGCACTTTCCTCTTGGCTTCTGGGTACCTTCCTCTCTGGTTTGAATAAACTCTTTTAAAGATCTGTTGTTATTCAGTCTGTGATGCACTGTGTCTTGCAAATGCCTTCAGGACACAAAGGAACTGGTGATTTTTCTTCAGCTAATAACTGTAATTTGAGCTTTAAATAAAGTCAAGTGAGGCCACTTTCACAAACAGGAAAATTATCCCTTCACCCTTCCCCTTCCTTACTGTATTTGCAGCCTGACACCTCAAGGAAAAAGCCTTTCACTGCCCCAAAATTATCAAACAAATGAGAACAGATATTACAAATAAGGGGCTTGGTCAGGGCCAGCCATTCACAAGCCTCTCATTTCTGAGTATAGTTTATTTGTGAACTGTCCCTACTAAAATTTTAATAAGTGCATCCCTCAAACTCTGCTCCAGGTAGCTCCTGGAAGGGCTGAGCACCTTGAATACTGAAAAAAAAAAAAAAAAAAAAGAATCTTCAGCATGCAATGGACTGATTTGATAAGTCAATGAAACAAGCCACAGGGGATTTATCCAGCTCTGCAGAGAATACCAGAATGGGAAAGGATGCTCTGTGCAGGTTTGAGTGAGGCCAAGTGTGCATGGGGCACAGTGTATTTTACAAAGCCTGTGAAAACAAGCATTGTCATCCCAGGGGATTCCCACCCTGTGTCACCAGCAGTGCTGCTCTGGGCTGGCTATGGGAGCCTGGAAGTGCCCTGGGAGAGCAGGCCCAAAGTGTCCCTTACCTCCCCCTGAGCCCAGCATCCATGGATGGCATCACCTGCACACCCCATGGCCCTGCAGGACCTGGGCATCAGCCACAGCATCAGGCCAGGGCTCACAGCATCAGCTCAGGGTTCTCAGCATCAGCTCAGGGCTCACAGCATCAGCTCAGGGCTCACAGCATCAGCTCAGGGTTCTCAGCATCAGCTCAGGGCTCACAGCATCAGCTCAGGGCTCACAGCATCAGCTCAGGGTTCTCAGCATCAGCTCAGGGCTCACAGCATCAGCTCAGGCTCACAGCATCAGCTCAGGGCTCACAGCATCAGCTCAGGGCTCACAGCATCAGGCCAAGCTCACAGCATCAGGCCAGGCTCACAGCATCAGCTCAGGGTTCTCAGCATCAGCTCAGGCTCACAGCATCAGGTCAGGCTCACAGCATCAGCTCAGGGTTCACAACTCTTGCTGCCACCAATAAACTCTGCCACCTGCTCCAGTGTGCTCAATCCTCCAGGAAATCTGCCTGGGTAAGCCAACAGAGAGAAGCAGGTGGAAGTGTTGGCTTTCAGGGCAGCACAAAGAAATGGAAGCACTGGGAGCTCCAGTCTTCCTGGAGTTTTGATGTCTGTAAGAGCAAACTGTGGTTTGGGCAGCCAAAGCTGAGCCTTTGCCAGAACCAGCAAGGCTTGGAGGTGTGCTGTGAAAAATGACACATCTTCTGATGTGCTTTTGGGGCACTGTCTGTGACACATCCCAGCTCAGTCTCCCATCCCAGTGCTCCTCCCGAGGACAGCGTGCAGGGGAGGATGTGCCTGGAGTCAGGACACAGATTGGCAGCTCCCAGAACAGTAATCTGGGTGGATGAATGCTGGAGGGGCATCCTGGGGGGATAACAGCCACAATAGTGCTGAGGGGAGATAAAAGCTCTTCATGTGATATTATGAAGGAATAAAAACTCTAGCAGAACAATTAGACTGTAATTATGGGTTATTTCATATTCAGTGACACCTAAATGTCAACAGCATAACTCTGTAACAACAAGCACTTGGTACAGCACGCTCTGCACACCTGATGAAGTAGCTTTTTGCTTTTATTAATGTCCTGTAATATTTCATTTTCCAAAATTTGGTGCATGGAAGTGTCTCTTCTCCATTGCAATTACAGCGCAAATAATATGGATAGGATAAACAAAATAAAAATGGAGTTTGCTTAAAAATCAGAAAATACTTCTGGAGAAAGGTTTATATTTGCTTGCCTGTCTTCTGTGGTAGATGCAGATTTGTGGCTATGAATGAGATCTTTCCTAGTGGCTGTCTGAGCTGGATTATTTACACTTGCACCTCAGTATATTGAGACCATTCATTCTTGCCTTACAGCCAGCCATAAGAGGAACTTAGCATATATTTTACCTGATATACCTGAGGCTGAGGAAATGGAGTCAGTTCACCTCCATCCCTTCACTAAAATACACCACAAAATTCCAAGGGAATCAGGGCCTTCAGGTAGGACTTGTCCTGTGTGGGAGTGTCTTTCTGTCCCCTGGGTTTGTTGCACTGGTGGATGAAAAAGCAATCCACGAACCTTTCTCTCTCGTAGTTAAAGTTTTTCTCTAGATAATTAAGAAGCCTCAAATCTCAGTCAGTGCAAAGAAGAAACCAGGCAAGCAAAACTGTGTGTCCTGCCAGGCCAGCAGCTCCTCCCGTGGTGGTAACTCCTGGCAGGAATGGCAGCTGGGGATGCAGATCCAGGGCCACATCTCCTGGTGGCAGCTGCAGCAGGTTTCAGTGGGTGACAGTCCCCTGGAGCACTGGCACCAATGAGCCACAGCCAGGGAGTTTGGTGCCCATCAGCAAAGGCTCCCAGCCCTGCCTCTGCCCCGCTGCACACCAACCTCTGACCCGGAGCTTTCACCTCCACCAGCATCCCCGGCCAGCAGCCAGGTGTGCTGGAGCACTCCCTGCAGCCAGGGACAGAGGATGGTGCATGGCAGGAGCAGAATGAGCAGAGGGATTTTCCCTGGGAGCAGGTGGGCACTCAGGGGTGCCTGAGTGACACAGGACAAAGCCTCACTCCCCATTCCCCCTGCTGAGGGAAAACAAAGGCAATGAGAGCCCTGATGAGCAGGAGGGAGGGTGTGAGTGTGGAGGGGCTCTGAGGGATGAAAATCCCTCAGCAAATAACCAGACTTGTACATTGGTTCTACTTAATAAAAAAAATGTGAATAAATTAACGTTTCCTGCTGGTTAATCTGCTCAGCATTTCTCTCTTGCCCCATCAAGAAAACCTCGGCAAGGCAGCTCACCCCTCCAGTGGGCAATACAGCTTTATAATGGCAATGTTTTCTATTTTGTCACACCTTTATCTGGCTGAGGAACAATGCCTCTCAGGAGAGCAGAGCAATTTCCAGCAGCTCTGCCTCCTGCCAGTTCCCCTGTCTGGGGAAAACATGACAGCCAAATTCGGCACCAGGGACAACATGGCTGATGTCAAAAAGATAAGTCCTCCTGAGGAAAAACTCCTTTTCAAGTTGTTCTTGTTGGAAGACAGCATGCTGCTGGGATGGTTTGCTGTCTGAAGGCTTCTCCCCTCCCAACTGTTTGAACCCTCAGCTCCAGATAATTTTAGCTGTTCAGTGGAAATCTTTTTGCTTTCACCCAAACCATAGAGCACAGGGCATTTTCCACAGAAACACCATGACAAAGCCCCCCTGTTGCTGTAGAGGCACAAAGGTGCTTGGATTGATCATCAGAACCACAGGACATTAAAAATCCTGGGGAGATGAATCCACCAGGGTTCTGTAAGACAGATGCTTAAAAAATATAATCCAAACATACTTGTTTCAAGTACCTCAGAAGATGAGAAAATTCAGTGCATCTGGCAGCAGCTACCACTTAATTTTTGTGATTTAATCTCATTGAGGTGCATTATGTCAAATAATTACCTTAATGAAGACTTTAATGGAAGAAGGGAGGAAAATAATAGACATGCTTCGAAGAAATGAAGCTGTGAAGTTGCTTAGTTTTTAACCTGGCAGGGATTTATCTCCCTCTCCTCTGGCTCCTATTGGACACACCCAGGGGTGTCCAATGTGCCTCTTTATCAGAAATAACACATTTCAGATGCTGCTCAAGTGATGCATTTATTAATTTGGATACGATAACACAGTTTCTGAGCTTGAAACAACCAAACATTTAAAACAATGAAATCCAACCATTAACCCAGTACTGCCAAGGGTCCATTAAAACATGTCCCCAATTCTACATCTTTGTGTCATTTAAATCCCTCCAGGGATGGTGACCCTATCACTGCCCTGGGCAGCCTCTGCCAGTGTTTGAAGAATTTTTTTCCTAATATAAAATCTTAACCTTTCCTGGCACAACTTGAGGCTGTTTTCTCTCATCCTATCACTTCTTACTTGGGAAAAGAGATCAACACCCAAATTGACCTTTATTGACTGTTCTCATTATCTTCTGAGGTTCTGCAGATATTTTATTTCTATTTTAATTTGAAGAGATTTTGTAAAACCCTCATGTGCTGATTTCCACCACCATGCACAGGATGTGCCTCTCATAGTCATATTAATCTTGAATTTACTTCAGCAGGTTGAAGTGACACTTTCTTTGGTGAATAAGCTATCTTCTAAATTTATCTGGTCTACCCAGTTTTCTGTGCACAAAGCCTGAAAGAAAAACTCATTGAAAATTAAATTAATCAAGTCAAATAACATTTTATTGCCTGAAGATATGACTTAAGAAAGAAATGTGTACTTCTTCCAGCACAGATGTGGTGGAGAAGGTAAATGAGCTCCTCTCTGACCCCAACTCCCATCTATTTCTCAGTTAGCCTTGCCTAGTGCTGCGGATATGCAACAGCTGACTCCAGATCTTCTTCCAGATATTAAAATAATACCAAAAAAGGAAATGTAGCCCATTTTTCTCAAATTAATGCAAAAATGTGACATTTCAAATTTTTTTTCCTTTTTAGCATTGGGGTTTTTTTAAGTTTTTGGGGATTTTTTTAGTATTTTTCCCCAAGCTCCAAACACTTCCCTAACTCAGGAAAATTAAACGCGTGACCCTGTGGCACAAGCCTGTGCTGTGGTATCAGACATCCAGCCGTCCCCCTGACTTCCCAAAGCACCCTTCACAGAGTTTTGCTCCTTCCTGTGCCTCCTGGCCAGTTTCCCGTACAGGTGGAGCACTCTCTTCTCCTCGCAGCTCTGGAAGAAGGAGGCGGCGATGCCGCGGCACAGGCGCCGCGCGTAAGTTCCCAGGAACACGGTGCCGTAGAGGATGCAGAAGAGCAGCCCCACAACGAGCAGCACAGAGGGGTTGGGGGGCCTGGGGGGGCTGATCCTGCAGTGGGCAGAGCTGAAGATCAGCTGATGGTGGTAGGTCCTGTTGAAGTCCTTGAGCAGTAGTGCCGCAGAAGGACTCCACAAAAGTTTGAATATAAAGGGCACGATGCCTATTTCAGCCTGAAAAAAGGAGAGTTGAAATGTAAATGGGGTATGAAGAAACCAAAATCAACTAGTTACTACAGAAACAAATGCCTGGGAGTGTGGAATCACTGTTACAGCACTAAGAGAAGGACACTGAAGGGTGTGATCACTTCAGGCTGAGTAACAGTGCCATGAGTGGGCACTGAGCACTGGGCAGGGTGAGAGCCAGTCCTATCTGTCATCTTCATCCACAGACATCATAGCAGGCGCTCACTGTATGAGATTTATGGTGAAAGACATCATCCAGCCCATGGTATTAGTGGCTGAATATGTGAATATTAGAGGGTTTTCCTAAGCCCTGACTGTTTTCCTGTAAATCCATCATAAGCAGGTATCTGCAGTAAGGATCCTGGGCTGGGGAAGGAGGCAGGCTGTGTGGCAGAAGAGGGAAGGTAAAACACCAAGCCAAAGATTGGATTAGAAACTGGGGAGTTTTGTGGAAAGGATTGCAGGGGGCAAGAGCAAAGCCAGCAAGCAGAGATTTCTAGTGAAGAAACAGCCTGTGCAATAGGATGAGTTCTCATTCTCAGTGTTCATCAGCTGCCCACTTCCTTTTGGAATTGCACACAGAGGGGGATCAGTGTCCCATTCCTCCACCTTGCTTAGGGAAGGGGTCTGGAGACACAGGGACGTCTGACTGCCTGCTCTAGCAGTGTCTTTGCAGCATGAGGCACTATTTGCTCCCCTCCAAGCTCCCAAGGGGCTGTAACTTGCAGAGTGTCTGCTGCTATTTGATGCACTGGGAGGAGCAGCTGAGGTTGTGCCACTGCCTCCTTCCCCAAAGCCTGTTGCTCATCCCTCTGGCTGCTGGGGAGGGAAGTCAGGATTGTGTAAATACGAGTACAAAGACTGCAATCCCCACCACCCCCTCCCTGAAGGGACACAGAGTGGGGTCCCCACACAGGGCAGGGCAGGACACCCCAGCAGTCACCTTGTATTTGATGCCGAGCGTGACAGGCACTGCAGAGAACTGAGCTGCCTTCCTCACCGCCGTGTCTGCCACGCTGAAGGCAAAGTGGTCCATGGCCACCAGCACCAGCATCAGCACCAGGGCCACGGTGACCAGCATGGCTTGCACCAGGCACAGAGCCACTTCTTGCCTGGACAGCTTCAAGCCTGTTGGGCGCATGAGTTTTTTGGATGAGCTCACCAGGAGATGAGTTGCTCTTCTGTCCACGGCTAAACGTTCCAGCTTCTTGGTGATGTAAAAATTGTCAAAGCTCATGTTGGTGAGATAATTTTTCAAATAACAGGTGGACTCAAAACAGAGATAGAGCATGAAGAAACCAGCAGCCAGTCTGTTGGCCACTCGGACAGAGTCTTTGACCAGTTCCTCAAGAGACAAGAACTCTCTGCTCATTTTCTCACCAGTAAGGTGCATTTTTTGGTAAATCAAGGAGCTGTTCTGAAACAATGAAAAGCGAAAATGTCCATTCATAGGCTTATAAATGGAATGAGTGGCTTCTTGGATTGCATCCCCAAACTCCCAGGAAACTTTCTCCAGCAGGGCAGTTGAGTTCAGAAGGCTGTCAGAGGAACTCTTGCAGATGCACTGAATAACCTGCAGTATGGTTTTGATGTTGCTTATGATGTTGGGTGTTATGTTCACCACTGCAATCATGATGCAGGTGGAGAAGAGAAGCTTCCTGCCCTGCTTGGTGCCTAACGTGGGCATGATCATGCTGAAGACACAGCGGGCAGGATGCACCAAAAAGAGAGTCAGGAGAAGGAGCAGGGTGAAGGAGATGGCCGTGGCAGTGGAGAGGTGCCAGGAGTACTCCAGGGAAGCAAACATCCAGTTGTAAAAGAGGCCTCCTATCACTGCTGCAATGCAGGAGCACTGCAGAAACAAGGTCCAGAGCTCTCTGCTGTCTGCTGGGACAGGTTTGGAGTAAATCCACCACAGGTCTGCCATAGTTCTGTGCACCTTTGGGAACAGAAAGTCTTCACAGTAAACACGGGCTCTCATCCTGGAAGAGCAAGTACCTGTGTGTTAGCAGAGGAAGTCCATAAACACTGATTAGGGGGCTTTCTTGATCACTTAAGGGGGTTTTATACTGTCCTCCTCTGGGTGCTTCTGATTTCACCCTTCTCTACTTCCCTGCACACTTCCCTGAGTAGCTGGGGCTGCGATCCTCCCTGGAAGCAGCAGGACAGGGAAGTTCAATGCGTTTATTGAAAAATAAATACTAAGTATGGTGCAACTGTCCCTCTATTAATGCAAGCACAGGAAAACATTGTGTTATTCTGTAAAAACCCATAATGGAGTCATTCTGAGGGGTCACCTCACTGGCAGTGGTTTAGGCTTTAATGCTTATTTTAGAGGATGTTGGAGGGAGAAAGAGGAGGCTACTGTCTTCTGTGGAAACTGTTAGACCAGCTCTGTATTTCAAAGGTGTTACATGGACAAGAGACACTTGAGTGGTGTTCTCCCTGCCTCTTAAGAGGAGGCCAAACACAAATCTACATGTTTAAGGGTGACAAACAGAGAAAACAATTTCACACTGAAGCTGCAGTGCCAGAGAAACTCTCCAAGGACAGGAATTTGGCCACTACAAACAGGATGAATTGTCCCATAAAGCTATTCAAATGTATAATGGAAACAAACATTTGAGAAAGAATATAGTTTGTCAGGCCTCACATCTGGAATGACTCTGGAAACCAGAAAATCTGGAGGGGAGAAGAGCCTCTCTCAAGGGTTAAACCCAGCTAGGCAATCCCTGTCTCCCACTGCTGGACAGCCCCCTCAGGTATCCTTTGAGGGACAATTTCAACTAGGAAAGGGGGCTTTCTGTGAAAAAGCCATACAACAGCTATCAAGAGAGAGGGAAAGAGAGGGAATAAAGCTGGCTGTACATACCCAATAGCAGTGAGGTGCCCCAGACTTGCCCGAAAACTCTCCATGTTCCAGTGCTGTGTTGCTCTGAGAGGATCCTGGATGTGGCTGTTGGGAGAGGCAGGGTAGGAAACCAAGGCAGCACCAGGACTCAAACCCCAGGATGTTTTAAGGCAATTCAGATCAGCAACACTGGCAACCCTGAAGTGTGCAAAACCTGGTGAGTGAAGCCAGGGGAATAAAAGCACTACAGAACAGTGCCAGGATGCACAGCACTGCTCGGGCTGTACACTTTTTCTGGTCTTACCCTTATTGCAGGGAAGGCTTATTTTAATGACACATAGGTAAAAAAAAAATGAGTCAATGACACATGGGCTGACGAAGATGGAACAAGGATTCTGGAACTTGGGGTGTCATCATTCCATGTGGGGAAATCAGATGACTACTCCTCACACTGCCCACCAGCAAGAAGCGAGCAGGGCTAGCATCTCTCTCAGGACAGAAGGGACCTTTTCCTCTTTCAGATATCAGTCATGGCACAAAAGGCACAGCAGGATCCAGCAACCCAGTTGGTAACTGCTCCTCTGTTCTGACAGGCTGCTGCTCCCTGCTGAAACTGCACGCAGGGTTCACAAACGGCTCCAAGGCTCATCTCACAGTCCTAGCAGAGGAAGAGCAAGTTTCAATCTCGAACTTTGCTGAATTCCTGATAGCCAGAAATCCACTGCAGAGAACACCCAGCCACAGTCAGGATTCCCAAACTGTTGAGAAGCTCCCAGATGTACAGGCCAGGATGTGCAGTTCTCAGTGGACCAACCTGCCTGGCCCCCAGGATGTGCCCAGCAGAGCTCCAGCCACCAAAGCTGCTGACCTGGAGATGAGGGCCAACCACAGTGTTTGCTCCTCAGTTATGAGCTCAGGGATTACAGGAGCCTTCCCTGCCCCTTGCCCAGATGCTCTCATGCTAAGCCACCATCTGTGGGCAAAGGTGACCCAGCTCACCCAGCTGCCCCTGAGCCCATCCCCTGTGGGGACCTGCTGTCACAAGCCAAGCCCTCCAGCCAGCTGGGAACCGCCGGGCCCCTGGGATGTTCTCATGCTCCCCTGGGTGGGAAAGGGCAAAGGGCTCGAGGTCAGCCCTGTCCCAGCCACCCCTGGGGACAAAGCACGTGGGGCTCTGCACCTTCCCCAGGGGACGTGGCTGGATCCTATGGCAGTGGCAGGAATTGGAGGACAAGGAATGACGAGCACAGAAGGCAGAGCAAACCTCTGCTGCTTCCTCTGCCCTTCCTGCAGCCACCCTTGTGCCCTTGCTGCTCCCCTCAGCAGCTCCTCTTTGTAGCTGAGGGTTTTGTTTTTCCCGTGTGGCTGGTGGAGCAAAGCTTTCCTCCTGGTGCCCTGGAGCACAGGGGCCAGATGGGGAACCCTGCCTGGCTCCAGCAGGGAAGAGGCACCAGCCAGGCGGGCAGGAAAGAAAGTGCTGTTTGTTTGGAGCATCCATAGCAATTGCTCGCCCATGCCATGAATTAGGTCTTTAATTCAATGTGCACACTAGAAGGGACTAGCCCAAAAGGCCCATAGCTGGATCCTGCAAGGCTCATCAGCTTCTTCTACGACTAAACTCCTTTCTCGCTCTACTTCAGGGTGAACTGGTGTTAGCATCAGCCCCTGGGACCCCATCCAGGCTATGCAGGCAGCTTTCTGGGGCAGAAAAAGAAAGAAATTTAGCAATAGGCTATAAAGAACAAAAACCTCTGAAGTCCACAACATCGTGGTGTTTTCTGAGTCTGCCGCACCATCTGGCAAAGGCACCTGAGGTCTGTGGGGACACTGAGCAGTAGCTCTGGCAGGACCAAGAAGTGTTTTTTTGCACTTTTACTTTGATTTTTTCCTCTGGCTCCACTCAAAATTGTTGTCTGCCAGCTGGACCTACAGCAAGGGCATAAATCTGGGGAAACTGATTTTATATACCATGAATGACCTGTATATGAGACAGAAACCTAAATGCCTAACCTTGCCCAGAATACAATGAAGAAGCTTGCTTTGCCAAAAAAGAACACAATAAACAAAACACAGCAGCAAATACCACAAATACCAGCGTGTGTGTTCATAGGGATACCTGGGGGTAAAGACTGGGAGTGGGAAAGGGGCAGGACTGGGACAGGGCAAAGGCAGGACCACGCATCGCAGCAAAGCAACTGTGACATCTTGTGGTCACACTCTGCTCAAGGACGCTGAGGTCTGGCTCATTTTGGTTCTGCAAAAAATATACTCTGTGGTTGGGAGAGTTCTAAGATGAGGAGGAATGCTGTGTCCTCCTGGGATGCTCCAAGGTGCCTTTTCCCACCCTGTGTCATTTCCAGATGGTATAAAAGGAATTTGCTTTCTTGATGAGCTCCAGTCTCTGTAGAGCCCAAGCTCTAAAATTTTATAACATCACCAATTTTGATTTTTTAGCACTACAGGAGGAACCCAAGCCCCACATGCCTGTGAGCACTTGCTGGGACAGTGAGGAGCAGAGGATTCCTTTGGCATCATTGCCAGGAAGCAGAGCCTGGCTTCACCTGGATAAAGGATGGGCACTGAGATTGTACCCACCAGGGCAGGGGTTTTAAACTCGGTTCTGAGTGCAGACTGCAGTGTTTGGGGTGGGCCTGTGCCAAGACACCTGCAGGTTCAACCTGTGGTGACAGTGTCACCTTGTCATGGTGACAGGGATGGGAGGGGGTGCAACGCTGTACCCCAGGCAGAGGGTGGGATAAATGAACAATACAGCTTAAGAAAATGGCTGGAGAAAGAAGATGAATGAAGGGCTAAAATAGAATCATTTAAGTCTGAAGATAATTATTCATGTCAGTATCACCAGCACTGGTTGATCATGTTATTCTGTCCATTTGAGAACTTGAGGGTGTGGGAAAGGTTAACTAATTAGGGGTGGTTCTTTGTTAAAATCACTTGCAAATGAACAAATCACAGTAACACAGAGCCAGATCATGTCTTCTTAGGTTACTACTATAGAAATATAGGAAAATCCCAGCACTACCCTTTATAAGGGATAAATGTGATAAGGGAACCAAGGCTGTCTGACCTGTAATAGCTGAATTCCCTTTCATGCTGGACTTTCATTTGTTTCACAACTTTTTCCCTGCCTCTCCTGAAATTCCAGCATCGCTGCTGAGTGCAAAGTGACAAGCACAGCTCTGGAATCACTCCCTGCTGTAATGACCCACAGAGCAGCTCCTCCATGTGAACACTTTGTAAAGGAACTCAAATGCTTCTGGGATAAAAGACAATGATGAAATGCTTTCCTACTACAAATAAACCAAAATTATTTTCTTCCGAGTGTCTCAGGAGAACATATGGATGTTAGTCCAGGACTTGATGGGGAACATCAAAGGAGTAAAGCAGAGATATTCTGGATGTTGAATTTCAATGAGTGGCATTTCCTGTTAATTAAAATTCACAAGGAGGCTGCTAATGTGAATGGCTTTTGTGATGGTTGTTGGATTTTTACATTCCTAGAGAAATAGTGGATAGACAAGCAAAGTTCTTTTAAAATAACACAGTCAAAGTTATAGAAGGTTACTACAGCACTTGAAATACCCTTTCCTGGGAATTTTCATATCTCTACACATATCACAGACTCTTCAAGACTAATGGGGTTGACTTGCCATTAAAAGCTGCTTTTGGCAAATCTTAGTACTAGCAGCAGCAAAGGGAATCAGAAATTATTTATGCAGGCCTGTTCACCTTTGTACCCCAGAAATATTAAATCTTAAAATCTCGGCTCAAAAAAAAAAAAAAATTAAAACACAAACATGCCAGATTAGTCCTACTCTCACAGAGGTCTGGGTATAAAAGAGCAGAATTAGGTAATGCTGTTGTCTACATGCCTTAAATCAGATCCTCTGGGGAGCCCTGGGAAACACAGGGGCTGCTGACAGAGCTGGCAAACAGGTTTTGGACTAAAGAGGTTTAGGATCCAGGTGCTTCTTACACCTTTCCCAGGTGTGCCAAGGCCTTGTTGTGGACCTTGGGTAAGTCACTTGTCCCCTCTCTGCCTCAGTTTCTCACGTTGGCACAGAGATCACAACCCTGCCCTGCATTTGTGAAATCCTTCCTGATCCCTGGACAGACAGTGCCACAGGCATGCCAGGACACTGGAAGTGATTTTTGGAGACTACAACACAAACTCTGTGGTCTCAGCTCTGCTTTCAAGCCAAAGAAAACCATCCTGGATTGGATCACCTATGATGCACCAATTCAGAGCTGAGGCCATAAACAAACCTGCGACCCCAACACCCGAGAGGGAGCTGGACTGGATGTTGCCCTTTGGAACTGGATGATCCCAAAGCCCTTGCTGCCTGTCCTCCAGGCTGCAGGGACAGAGGCAGCTCTGTGCCCGTGGCTGACCAGGATCCCCCGCAGCAGCAGCGGCTCAGGGCAGTGGGACCATGGGGCTCCTTCCCGCGGCGCCTGAGGGCACAGCCTGTTCCCTGCTCCCTGTTTGTCCCCTGTTTGTTCCCTTTCTGTTCCTTTTTCTGTGTCCCCTGGCCCGGGACAGCAATCCCGTGCTGTTCACGGACAGCTGGCTGAGAAAGGAAACTGCAGGGAGCAATTTTCCCTTCCCATTCAGCCCATCTTTGCTAAGGCGTGACGAGGAGCATCCAAGCAGAATGGCAGTGCCCAAACCCAGCACAAACAAGCAGACAGGGATTTGGGGTATGCTTAAAGGCTCTCGAGAAGCTGGGCCAGGGGTTTTCCCATTGCTCCGGTGTTTAACAGCACTGCACTGCCCTCCTGCTCCTCCTGGGGAGCCACTGCCCAAATTAGGGATGAAGCCGGAGCAGGGGGAGGCTTGGGCTTTGTTTTTCTCCCCTCAAACTACAGAGCAAACAGGACCATGTGATGTGCTAACCAGTGTGCTTTATTTTAAGCTTTCCACAATCGTTAAGGATTTTGTTTGAACATTGAGGATTTTTTTAAAATTGATTGATTAAAGTTCCACATTCAGTTGGTTTTGGCGATTTCAGTTCAACTCCCTTGAGCTGCCACCTGCCACATCACCCCAAGGTGACCCCCACAGGGTAACCCCTGCAGCAGCAGCTGGTGAACATCTCCCTGCCAGCCCTCCTACCTGGCCCTGGGGGTTATCAGCAGCACAGGAGCAGGGGGATGCACTGGATCCCTACCCCAGGCCAGTTCAACTTGTCAGCTCCACCAGTTTACATTGTCAGAGAAACCAGTCCCAGCACAGGGATCCTGTCACTCACCTTCCACAAACCAAGAATCAATCCTTTATCATTCAATCATCTATTTCAATGACCGATGATTTAATATTTTATATTCTTACAGAAAATAAAATAAAAATAATTGGATAAAATGGTGATTAAAATCACAGTCAATTTGCAATGCTTTCATTGAAAGTACCCAAGCAATCTGATTTAAAAAAGATGTTAAGAATCAAAGCCTATTTTTTAAGAAATGTCAATAATATTCCAATGCAACTTGTCCACTGACCTGTGACTCAGTGGGTCATTTGTGAGTGAGTCAATCTCACAACCTAAGACTGGCCACAGTTACCAACGGTGAAACATCACCGATGTCCAAAGTTATGCCAGAAATTAATTTGGTCCCGAGCCCCCATCCCTGTACTCAGTGCAAAGAGCCAGGCAGCAGTCGCTGTCCCAGGTTTTCAAAACATTGAACATGTTTGGAAACAAACTGTGGCCTTCCAGTTCCCAAAGCATGGAGCAATGCACCGAGTCCTACCGACACATCTCCTGAGTCATCCCTTCACACACAAACCTGAAGAAATGCTCTTCATCTTCCATGAGAGAATTACTCACGAGATGGCAACGAGACCCCAGCCTCACACCCTGCCAGAAGCACTGGCCACGCCGCTTCTCCCCGACCAGGTTCTGATACACTCACTCACGTTGGGGTGCACATAAATAATCCAGTTGCCTCCACCCTGTTGCCAGGGCTGCTTTCCAAAACGAGGTAGGGTATCAGAAGCTAGAGCAGCAAGGCTCGTCAGCTCTCATGGGGGGATAGGCATCTACCCAAAGATGCTCCATGCTTACAGGTTGTCCACTTAACAACCACCTGTGACAGAAGGACTCTGGGAGAGTCGGATTTGTACCTGCAAAAGGTGGGGAAAGATCTCCAGAGAAAGTAACAAATGGATGTTGTGACACTGACCAGAATTTCTAGAAATCAAATTAAACCAGAAGGTCCCACACAGTGTGAGCGGCCACGTGGCTTTTCCTCCTGTGCAAACTCTGACGATTCCAGTGCCCCAGTCCTAAGTGAGTGAGTCCTTCCCCGGGGGTGGCTTTGTTCATATTTTATTTAGTGCACTTAAAGTGACATTTTCTACAGCTGTCACAAGTGAGGTGGCATTTTCTGCATGGATGTTGGCCCATGCAGGGAAGGTCCCCAGCTGGAAGATGCTCTTGGCCCATGTGTTCATAGCCAAGCTAAGAAGCAGAACTCCCATTAGATTCATGAGCAACCCAGTTCTTGCCTACAAAAGAAATACAAAGACAGCTGTTGAGTTTAGACTGGACATCTACAGCATGTGAAGCACGAAGCTATTTGAATGCAAACATTATAAAAATGGAAGGTTTAATTGCTGTTAATATTAGCAACATTTAAAGCAGGCTTAAAGCCACAAAGGCCATTCTGCAGCTGCTTACCAAGCTTTGATCCATCAAAAACATTAACATCTGTTTAGCCTCAGGAATGTGAGCAGGAACTGGGACTAAGCCTAGTTTTACTCATAAGCTTTGTTTCACTGAGCTGGGGAAATTTTCCTGCATCCAGAAACCTATGAAAGTTGAGCTGTTGACACTAAAGAAACAGGACAAGGGGCTGGGGGATTCAAGACCACTTTTGTCACCATTTGGAACCATGGTGGCTCCAAATTTCAACTTCATGCAAGCTCCTTCCATCCTTTGCCTTCAAACACTGTTGAGAACAGTATCATCCTTCTGTCTTCTCATTTTACTGCACATTGAGTACTAACAATACAGAAAACACTCTTCTTTAAACACTCAGGCTGATTGTTTTCATCATTTTATGTATCTAAAGGAACTTACCATATCCTTGACCATCAAATGTCCAGAGGAAAACGCAATTGAGTTGGGAGGTGTTGAGACTGGCAACATGAATGCATAGGAGCATCCTATAGTTCCTGGTATCATTAAATAGAGGGGATTCACTTTCAGACGAATGGCCTGGAAAACCAAAAAGGAACAGAAATTGGACCTTGGAGATTTGAGCTGCCAACAGATGAACCAAAGGATGCAAATAGCCAGTGTGGTGTGCACAGCCCTATCCCACACTCTGTAATAAATAATCACATCTCTCACAACAAAGTCTGAGGGATTGTTATCCTTAGATGCCCACATTATGCTACTGGACTTGTTGCTCCCAAGGGTTTCAAAGAGCCTGAAGCCCAGGAGCAGAAAAATTCCCCAGTGCCTGTCCCAGCACAGACCCAACACAAACCCACCCACCCAAGGGACAGGGCAACGAGGGGGCAGACCACGAGCAGGAAAATTCCCCAGTGCCTGTCCCAACACAAACCCACCCACCCAAGGGACAGGGCAAGGAGGTGGCAGAGGAAGAGCTGCTCTTGCCATGGGATGACCTTACCAGCTCTGCCAAGACAGGCAGAAAGATGATAATAGTGGCAGTGTTGCTGGCAAACTCTGTGAACAAGGCGATGACAACCGTGATGAGGATGACAGCCACGGGAGGTGGCACACCCTCCAAGGGATGCAGACGGCCTCCTATCCACACAGACAAGCCAGACTCCTGCAGAAGGGAGAGAAAAACAGGAGTCAACCTCCTGCATCCCTGCAGGTCCTCTCCTAGAACTTGTCCTCAGGGTGTCTCACAGCTTGCAAGGCGTTGTAGCCTCCTGAGATATTTGCTGTGTATTGTTGTCACTTGGAGTTGACAAATACGCCCTTGGAGTGTGATGACCCCACTGATAGAAGTTTTCCAAAGCCAAATGGGAACACCAAGTGACCCCCTGATAAGATCCAACCCTTCTGGGCAGGATGATCCCACATGGCATCTGCTGTGGGGCTCACCTCGCAGCCCTTGGCCATGGCAAAGCCTCCTCCAAGCAGCAGGATGATGTTCCAGGGCACGGTCTCCTGGGCCTTCCTCCAAGTCAGCAAGGGCTGGGTCTCTGTGTTTGGTGCTGGACAAAGAGGAAAGGCCTGTGTCAAACACCCACCCAAAGAGGAGCATCAGCCATCACCTGACTGAATGACACCACGGGTCTGACAGAGTGCTGAAGCACTGACCATGAGCTGCTGATAAAATACACACACGGAGTGTCTTGAGTTAGCCAACTAAAGGAGCATTTAACTCAGTATCAGATGTGAAAATAAAACCAAAAACATTCTAGCAATAAAGTTTTCTGTGAGGCTTTCTTGATTTAATATTAAATATCGTGTTAATTTTCTCTCTGTAACAGACATAAACATTGTCTTCAACAAATGGGGGTCCATGGAAGGAGGCAATATTCTGCCATTTGAATTAAAGTTATTAATTTTCCGTTTGTCATTCAATGTCCAGTGAGTTTTACAGCAGAGAGCTCATTGCCCCTAAAAGCTATTTCTTAATACGTGATAAAGTGAGCTCTGTTGTATGGAAGGATGCACTAATGGGACTGAAATTTTCTGTTGAAAAAGGGCACATATTTTATCCACAGGAGGCCTGATGAAACATCTTCCTGTGTATGGACAACACAACAAATGTGCATAACTCAGAGCAGCTGCTATTTTGTTCCCACAGACCCCAGGCGTTTCTCCATCATCCACAACAGTCCTTCAGCTACTTCTCCCCATTCAGATCATCTCTTATTCCAAGAAGAATTAAAATTTGTATTTCGTTGCTCCTCAAGAGGACTGACCCAAGACTTCAAAACCTGCTGGAGAGTTTGAGCTTTAGGAGTTCCAATTATCCTAGAACCTGAGGAAGAGCACCTATATCTGAGAATGGACAATTAGCCCAGCTCTGCCCTCTCAGAGGTTCATGCTCCCCTTGAAGGACAGGAGCTGTTGGGAAGTCAGACACCAAACCTCTGTTCCTCCATCAGTGGTGTGGTAAATGAACACCCATTTCAGGTCACTTCATCCCACCATGGCTCCAACCCTGACAGCTGCATGAGCAACTGAGCCATTCCTGCAGGGAATTCAGCAGCAGGGCAGTGACTGCTGGGCCTCTGCTGGTCTGCCAGATTAAAAAAAAAAACAAAAAAAACCAAACAAACCCAACAACAAACAAACAAAAAAACCCTGTCCTCTCATGGCTCCAACCCTGACAGCTGCATGAGCAACTGAGCCATTCCTGCTATCAGCAGCAGGGCAGTGACTGCTGGGCCTCTGCTGGTACTTCAGATTAAAAAAAAAAACAAAAAAAACCAAACAAAAAAACCCCAAAAAAAAAAAAAAAACAAAAAAAACCCCAAACCAAAGCCTCTGTAGGATCAAATGGCACCTTCGAGCCATCCTGCTCCACTCTGCAGCTCCAAGGAGGGATAGCTTTGCTCCTTGCCCCATGCCTGCCCTGCCAGGACACAGGCAAGCACAGAGTCCCTGCCTGGAGGGGTCTCCTACTCACCTTTCAAGTCAAACCACCACCTGAAGGAAGGTTTTTGTGAAGGGAAGAAGAACAGTATAATCACAATGGTGATTCCTGTAACTGCATCTGAGATAAACCTGTCCAAAAGCAGCAGAAACACTTGTAAGAAGCACAAGCCTGTAGAATTAGAAAGTTTATGAGAACAGGGATTTACCAAAGAAGATTACAAGTTTCCATCAGGTTTGAACAATGCTTGTTGTTCAGAGTTCTGCCTCTCTAGGATCAAATGGCACCTTCGAGCCACCCTGCTCCACTCTGCAGCTCCAAGGAGGGATAGCTTTGCTCCTTGCCCCATGCCTGCCCTGCCAGGACACAGGCAAGCACAGAGTCCCTGCCTGGAGGGGTCTCCTACTCACCTTTCAAGTCAAACCACCACCTGAAGGAAGGTTTTTGTGAAGGGAAGAAGAACAGTATAATCACAATGGTGATTCCTGTAACTGCATCTGAGATAAACCTGTCCAAAAGCAGCAGAAACACTTGTAAGAAGCACAAGCCTGTAGAATTAGAAAGTTTATGAGAACAGGGATTTACCAAAGAAGATTACAAGTTTCCATCAGGTTTGAACAATGCTTGTTGTTCAGAGTTCTTTTATTTTTTAATTCCCTGTCGAGCTAATTTTCTACCATGGGCAGTGAACCCCCCAGAAAAGCTGCCCTACAAAAGTAAAAACCAAGATCTAATCCCCTCCACACTGATGTTCTGGTTTTCTGATTGCAGAGTTATAAGGACAAGTTTCCTGAGCCTGTTGCAGGGAGGAAGAGAGACAGAGCCCAAACCATCTTATTTAAATGAGCTCTTTGCAAAATGCTCAAACTCTGAAAGGCAGGCTCCACCCAGTAAAAACCTTAAGCATGTGTTAGATTTAAGGAGTTATTAACTGATGAGGAAAATGTACACAACTACTTTGTTATATTAAGGAAACATTTATCAAACTAGGATTTTATTTGAAAAAACCCACCAAACTATGAAGGTCTCTTCTTTTAAGAAATAACAACACCCTCTTTGAGCTCTAGCATCCCCTAACTGCTGTATCTATTCATCTTCAAGGTATGGTTGTCACAGGGGACACAAAGTTGGCAAACAGACAGGACAGCACTCAGAATCAGCTCCTGCCATTCCTCTTCAGTCTTCATACCACTGGTGAAATCAGTGGATTGCCTAAAGAACTCAGTATTTTACTGTAAATATACCTACAAACAGCATTCCCAACATTAAATCCTAGGGATGGCCTCAAACAGACACATCACAACTTCCCACTGCGTCATGCACCTCCTCTAGGAGCCAGAAAATGCAAAGTTGCCTGTGCTACTTGATGCTCACTTAATTTATTCAAGGAAATCTGAGTAATAGTGTTAAGCAAAACAATCAGAAACTCAGGAATGTCAATGACTTGGAAATGTTACTGCAAAATGGCAGAGTGGAAGGAAAATAAAGTCTTACCCTGGTGCAAACAAGCTTGCCCAGCCTGGAATGAATTTGGGATCCCTGGAGAACAGCATGATTGCAAACATGCAGAAGAAGAAGAAAATTGCCTGTTCTGCAAACCTGAAATGAAAAGAAATGAGGTTAAAATGCTGATGTGCTGAAGGGGTGGATCCAAGCTAGGACAAGTACCCAGCTCCTGCTGCAGCACCTTGGCTGAGAAGTGAGACTGATTTTCTAAAACCAGCTACAGTGACACATTGGGACAGATTGTAAATCTGTTTGCAAATACTGCTGTTTGCCAGCAATTATCTCTCATTGGATGACATTAAGGAGAGGCAAGATGGAGACCAGGAATGTCCCAACAGTGGGATGCAAGGGTGACCCTCTGGGTGGGGCAGAGAGGAAGGGCCAAGCAGTTCCTCATGGTCATTCCTCTGACCATGTCCCTCCAGGATCTCAGCCAGGGATGGTGGCACTGCAGCCCAAGCCATACAAAAGGATGATTGAGATTCAAATCATACAGGAGACAGCAGGAACAAATTCCTCCAAGGTCAAAATCTAAACACTGTCCCTTAGACACATGACAAACAGCAGGGTAAAAGGCAATAGCATTCACTAAGTATCTAGTGGAGTTAAGGTTTAACCAAGGTTTAAGATGATGCCTCAAAACTCTTTTTAAAATCTCTCTGAGCACAGGCAAGGGCACACAAGCCCTTGGGAAGAGGCTGCTTGAGCTGATTTTTAGTTATGGGGTTGCTAATCAAATTGGTAGAGCTCAGCTTAATGGACCTTCCCACTCCTAGATCTCAAAGTGGGACTTTGATTCTTTCAGAGACATTTTGCAGGCTGCTCGATAATGTACTGAATGGAACAAATAAACCAATTTCTTTCATTTACAGCACAGGCACAGAGAGCTGTCTTTGAAGAACCACTCCATGTTCCACACAACAGAAATAATTACAATGTCGATAGCATGACACAAACATCACTGGATAGTCACAGCATTGCCCTGAGTATGAAAATATTATTTTACAGATGGTGAAACACAGACTGTTTAAGGAAAAACCCTTCAGTTTCAACAGTCTTCAGTAGTCTTGGCTGCCCAGAATATCAGTGGATGGTTGGACATATGCAGGGTTGGATTTCTGGAGATACGCAGCTTTTCCTGCTTCCCCCTTTTTCTTGGCATTTCTCAAAAGTCTAAAACTCATGTTTCTTTCAGCTGGTGCCTTACTCCAAAATATAATCCCCATCATTGCATTTTGTACCAGCTTTTACTTTCCTCATTTGACTAGCATAGTTGAGGGAATTATTCAGAAAAAATAATTTGTTCTATGGCATGGATCTGGCTTTTTCCTGTATACTTTCTCTGAGCTTTAAGATTCCTTAAAGTATATCCACAATCCATATGATTCACATCCATAATGTGATTCATCAGCCTTCTGAGCAACTGTCTGCTGCTTTGCAGGACAGGTATGCACAAACCCAGCCTATGTTGGTCAGCACCTAACTCACACAGAACTGAGTTTGTTCCTGGAGTAGAAAAATCATAGAGAGTAATTAAACAATCCAGCATTAATTCCCTCTGTACCAGGAATGTTGCTCTTCAGAAGATTTGAGGGAAAGCTGCTATTTGCAATTATTCATGCTAGCAAAGGTGAGGAGGCTGGAGCGTGCAAAAAGCAAAGTTCAGCAGGTTACAAACAGACTGAGTAGAAATATAGGTGTAATTTTCTTTAAAAAGCTCCATTCCCCACAGTCCTCCCTTCTTAAACCAGGATATTTCCAAACCCACTTAACTTATTTCTCACTTCTATCCCAGCTTTACAACTCACTTTGTTGGACCCAGTTTCTGATAGTCCTCCTTTATCACCTCCTTGGCTCTGGCTTCTGCATCCACTCTTATATTTGATTTTTTTGTTTTCCAGCCCCTGCCAAGAAACACAATTATATTTTTACATGCCTCTGACCTAAGTAACACAAAGGAAATGCATTTTCTATGCAGCACATGCAGATCTCAGTGTCCATCTCCAACACCTGCTCTTCAAGGTTCAAAGAGCTGCACGTCTGGCAGCACAGTTTGTGTTATCTTCAGATTGTGAAGACTAACAATGAAAATCTCTGCTGAGATAAAGGTAATAAATCTTTAATTTTTATGTTCTTTATCTCTGCATTCATACAAAGGAGACCCTGCAGAGGTGAGGAAGTTTCCTCTCATTTATATTCTGAACTGTTTCCTCCAGCATGGGCTGTGATTGCCAAATGAAAGTCCCAACATTGCAGGATTTCCTTGTCTTCCTTCCAAGCAAGTTACCTACTTGGACAGAACGACTAGGAATAGGGTGACACAGAAAATTAATCTGTCCCTTCATTTTTCAAGTCACTTGTAATTTCCTGGGTGATCCCAGGATGCTGCTGAGGATCAACAAAAAATGTGAGGAATTTCTAAGTGGCCGGAATGTTAATGTGCTCCTGGCTAAGCCTCTTAGCCTGGCTGCACTGACTGCTCACAGTTTGCTCCTTTGGAGCATGTGCATACAAATGATATATTCATATATTCATATCTTGCTCTCCATCTCCCATCACATCCCATGACACTGAACCTGGTTTCTAACACTGTGACCTTGATTAAAGCTACAACCCCAAATTTCTGTGTCAGACACATCTGCTCATCCTGCCCTTGATTCATTTATTGTTTCAAAGGGTGGCTGGATGTTCTATAGAGATGAATGGTTGATCTTTCAGAAGCTCCTGCATTTCAAGTTCCTGGCCCTTTAATTTCTTGGGTTTTGGGAGATGTTATTAGCAGCAGCCTCATCTCAGCCAGCCCACTCCTCAACCTTTTTAATGCCTTTTGGATTCAAGCAGAGCCCAGTTGCCCACCTGCCCGTGCCCAGCTGCAGACACCCAGGACCTGCCCACAGAGAAATCCAGCACTATCCCCAGGCAGTTCAGCCCAAGCAAGGCTCCTGTGGAGCCCTGGCTGTACTTGAGGAGCTCTGCAGTGTCTCCTCCACCACGGGGGAATTCTGGCATCCGTGCTGGCCCAGCAATCCCAATGGAGCCGAGCCCTGTGCTGGGGACGAGCCAAAGCAAACACAGAGCATCACGTCCCTGTGCTCCACAGCAGCTCTGCCTTTCACCAGGGCTTTGGCCTCTTCCCTCACCTGAGGGGCTGGGGATGGGCCATGGCCAGCCCTCGCCAGGGAATTCAGCTCTGCACAAGCCCTGGCACACGGTGAGAGCAGCACAGCTCTCGCAGTGGGAGCCAGCCAGGCATCACACAGCACACTCAGAGCCTCCTGAGAAGCCCCACCAGCAAGTCAAGGACAAGCCTTTGGCATTTTCTGGATTAAAACTTTCCCATTGATCTTTTTTTCCCCTATGTCTGAGACAATGTAAATATTTGGACACCTGTTCTTCTCTTTCCCCTCTCCCACATTTGCATTTTAAAGTCAAAACAACAATTAAAGGCTTTTCTAAATATCACAAATTCTGCATGGTCCCTGGAGAAAGCACGACTCTGACTTGGTTACCATCACTTGTGAGAGCGTGGAGGGGGGAAAAGGTCTCCACATGAGCAGCAGAGCAGTGCTGCAATCGCTTTAGGTTGTGCACACTGAGGGGTTGCATGTGCCCAACAAAGATTTACCGGAAAAACATGTTA